TTCAAATTTTACTCATTATAATAATACTCATTATAATAATTTTGATCCTAATTTTTGTTTTGTCGAATTTATCTTCAACATTTCATTTATTAGCATTTAGCACATTTTCAAGATATATTGTTTACATACTTTAAAATGAGGGAAAAATAATTGTCGTAATATTGTATTTATTATTTTTAAAAGTGTGTCATTTTTAACACTCGACAGAATTTTTGGATAAAAATTATTATCAAAGAAGAGGAAGAATTAATCGAAGTTAGTGATATAAAGGCGATAATGAACAAAGATTAAGGACCTTAAATACAGTTAAAATGTAGTGTAATTAATGAAAATTGTAATGTAAATATAATTAAGAAAAATGTTATTTATCCCCAGTGGGATACATCCTCAATCTATGTGGTCTTAATGTGGTATTAAATGATATGTGAAATTAAATAAGTCATTTAATTTCACCAATCGCTTAACCAATCATTTACATCCACATAGACTGAGAATACACCCCACTGGGGATGAATAGCACTTTTTTATAATTAATGGCTAGTTATATTGCCCCAGAATTTTACCCATTGCAACACTATTTAATTGCACTTTATATCCTCAATTTTTTTAATTGTCTCACTTATATCCCTAACTTTTTTTCATCAATTTTTAATTTTTTAACCTCAAGGCTTTGAAATTAGGCAAATCCACTTCATTTCTATTAAAATCGCCAGAGCTCGTGTTTGGTGGAGTTTAAAAAAAATAAAATTGATAAAAATTTAAGTCAAAGTCAATAAAATTTAAATCACACATTTCGTAGATTCATAATTTTTATCAGCTTTTTAACTACATATTTTATCATTTTTTTTATTATAATCTATTAAAAATATAATTTTTAGCTACATCAACACACAGGTTAAATGATCCTTAGTATATAGAATAATGGTAGAGGGACAAGTAGGTTAAGAATAAGTAGTCCGCACAAGGAAAATAAACTAAAATGGGTAGTTTCAATTCACCTAATCAACTGCTAAAATGGATTAGGATTAGACTTAATAAAAAATATTATCCTCTAATAACTTCATATTTTCGTAAATTTTATATTGGAGAAGGCGTGCAAGTACTCTTCCCATATAGTTATAATTGGATAATTTAGGTCAAATGTAACCATCAGTAGTATTCTAATTTGCTATTTAATTTGAATTAAAAAGGAAATGATAAATAAAAATAGTAATGCGTCCGTTGACTACATACAAGTATATGTTTGGTCTCTATTTTTTCAAAAACTCATTTTGTAATCGCACGCTATCCCATAATTTTACACGTATTTTGAAAACTTTTCTTTATTTTTTTAATAACAAAAAAAAAATCGTTATTTCAACACATTTTCATACAAAAATGAAGCTCAAATAGAGGCTAAATTCATTTTCTACATCATAAGTTTGAGTCGTTTGACACTTGCACAAGTTTTCATATATGAATATTGGATATATGATGTTTTTATTTCGGGGTCAACTATCTAATCTTAAAGATTAAGCCACTATGAATTAAACAAATTTATCCATTTGGATTTTACCTTCTGCGTGCATAAATTTGAACGCCCTTATGATCTCGCTAAATACAATACTAGGTGAATCTCTTCATACTCCAAGAAAATTGTTAAGGGATTAAATCTTACATCGAATAAAGATGAAATCATAGATCAATTTATAAGAGTTTGTGCTACTCATCTTAATAAAGTTGATTTTTTAAGATGGGACCTTGAATTTTATCATGGTATCAGAGTCCGTTAAGTAATGATGGTAAAAAAAACCTACCTTGCCCCGCCCCGACAGGTTGGCGGGGTGGGGTGGGATGGGGCGGGCCCGCCCCGAAGCTCCCATAGCCTGCCCCATGAAGAACAAAAAAAAATAATAATTAACTACAAATTAAAAACAAAATATAGTTAATTGGA